TAGATTAGCTTTCATTTTATATAATGTTATATAACTGGAATTACACAGTATGTACTTTTTTAAAAAATACTTATTTATTTTATTTGAAAAGCAGAGTTACAGAGAGAGAGGGAGACACAGAAATAGAGATCTTCCATCTGCTGGTTCACTCCCCAAATGACCGCAACAGCTGGAACTGGGCCAGATTGGAGCCAGGAGCTCCTTCCAGGTCTCCCACAAGGGTACAGGAGCCTAAAGACTTGGGTCATCTTCTACTGATTTTGCAGGAACAATTAGCAGGGAGCTGGATCTGAAATGGAGCAGCTGGGAAATAAACCGGCGCCCATACGGGTTGCCTGCGCTGCAAGTGGTGGCTTAGTTCACTATGCCACAGAGCTGGCCTCCCACAGTATGTATTTCTTTTAGTATTTATTTATTTATTTGAAAGGTAGACAGGTACAGAGAGAGATAGGCAGAGGAGAGAGAGAAAGAGAAATCTTCTGTCTGTTGGTTCACTCCACAAATGGCCATATTGGCCACAACTAGGCTAGGCAATTTCCAGGATCTGGGAATTCCATCCAGGTCTCCCACATGGGTGGCAGGGGACCAGACACCTTCTGCTGCTTTCTCAGATGCATCAACAGGGAGCTGGATCAGAACTGGAGCAGTCAGTACTTGGATCAGCACTTATATGGATTGTCAGCATTGCAAGCAGCAGCTTAATCTGCTGCACCACAATGCTAGACCCAATATATATTTTTAAACTTCTTTCACCATGATTATTTTGAGATTCATCTAAGCTGTAGAATGTATCAGTATTTCACTCCTTGTTATTGCTGAGTAGTATTCCAATGTACAGTTATCCAATAGTTTATTTATACATTCATCTGTTGAAAGACATTTGGGTTGTTACCAATTTGGAGTTATTAGAGATAAGACTGCTATGGACATTCCCATACAAGCTTTTATATGGACATATGCCTTCACCTCTCTTGGGTAAGCATCTAGGAGTAGAATGGCTAGATCATATAAGCTATATGTTTAACTTTTGACAAAACCAGCAAACTTTCTTAACATAGATATGCCATGTTATTTTCCCATCAACAGTTTAAGAGAGCTCCAGTTCTACCACATCCTCACCAACGCTTGCTGTGGTCACGTCTTAAAAAAGGAGAAGTGCAGTGGTACCTCACCATGGCTTTAATTTGCATTTCCCTAGTGACAAATGAAGCAGAGAATTGTTTCATGTACTTATTTGCCATCAATGCATCTTTTTTGGTGAAGTGTCTATGCAAATCTTTTGCCCATTTTTAAATTGGTTGTTCATCTTTAGACCATTGAGTTTTGAGAGTTCTTTTTGTACCTGTTTATAAGCTGTAAGCCAATTTTCTGTGGCCATTTCAGAATACCTGACACTGGGTAATTCTTAAAGGAAATACGTTTGTGTCCACTCATGTGTCCTGGAAGCCAAGAAGTCAAAAAGTAGAGCTGGGAGAGCCTGTCCTTCTCAGCTTATGGAGGAAAATGTAACTGCAAACACTTATATGCAAAAGAGGCAAAACCCCAAAATCAGCCCTGCTTTTTAATAGTACACTTGTGGTAACTAACCCAATAACTCATTCCTGCAAATGATGCATTAATCTCTTTTAAGGCTTTAGTATCCCCTTAAAGGCTCCACCACTTCACAATAACCCTTACATTGGCACTCGGTTTCAACAAATGGTGACAAGGATAAACTCATCCAACCCATAGCTAAAACATTTTATCTTATGTTGATTTGGAAATATTTTCTCCTTTCTTGTGTACATTTTTTTTTTCATTTCCCTAATACTGTCTTTTGAAAAGCAGAATTTTTACATTTTTGGTAAATTCAGTTTACCAAATACTTTATGAATTCCACTTTTGGCATTTTCCATTTTGTCTAATCAAATACTCTGTATTTTCTAGAGTATTCACAGTTACGATCTATTTTAGTTACTTTTTAATTCAATGATAGATATAGATCCAAATTTTTGTGTGTTTTTTTTTCATATTGGTATCTAATTGTTCCAGTATTATTCATTAAAGAGAGTATCCTTCATTCTCTAATATACTGACTTTAGATCTTTGTTGAAAATCAGTCTTCCATATATGTCTCAATTCTATACTCTTCCATTACTGCTTAAAATATTTATTTTGTTTATTTGAAAGGCAAAGTGACAGCCAAAGAGGTGGAAACACAGAGAGATATCTGCCGATTCACTCCCCAAATGGCCACAAGAGCTGAGGCTGAGCCAGGCCAAAGCCAGGAACCTGGAATTCCATCTGGGTCTCCCACACGGGGGACAGAGGCTCAAGTACTTGGGTCATCTTCCGCTGCTTTCCAGGCACATCATCAGTGAACTAGATAGGAAGCAGGAAAGCCAGGACTTGAGCTGGTGTTCCAATGTGAAATGACAGCGTCCCAGGTGGTGGCTGAACCTACCGTACCACAAGGCCGGCCGCTGTGTTTTCTTTTATTTATCTCAACAAAGATACTGTGTTGTCTCCATTATTGTAGCTTTATAGAAAGTAATGAAATTAGGTGGTGTTTGCTCTCCAATTTTGTCCTTTATGGCCTTGTTGTTTGTGGTTCTCTTAGCTGGAGCAGTATTCATTTTAGAGCTTTATATTCCCATTCTTGAGGCCAGGCCTTTCTTTGTACTTTACTCTGTGAGTCTTGAGGCTTTACATTCTCTTGAGAGAGAACAGACGCTAATCTGGGCTCTATGTGAGTGCTAGACAATATGATACCTAGCTTTGGATAGCTTCTTCACACACATGTGCTAATCAGCACTTGCTTAAATTCTTGACGAGCACTGCTAGTAGTCCTCCAGCTCCAAAATGTCAATGTACCTTGTAATGCAAAGGTGACTTTGCAGATTGATAGAGCTGAATATCTCAAGATGGAAGGATTATTGTGGTTTATCTGGCTGGGGCCTATTTAATCATATGTGTCTTTATAAGAAGCAGGAGAAAAGAGTAGGAAGTTGCAAATGTGTTGGAGTGATATAAAGAACCAGAGAATGCATAGACTTTTAGAAGAAGACAAGGGCAAGGACATGGATTCTCTTCCTGAACTTGTCAGAAGGGATACAGTCTTGCCAACTACTTGAGTTGGAGGTCTGAATGTCAGAACTATAACAGTGGTTTTAAGGCACCACTTTTGTGGTATTTGTTGCAGGATTTAGAAGAAACTAATGCAGGTGCCCCCTGCAAATCTCTGAGGTTTGTTCTCAGTGCAGGTTTCCCTTCTACATTACCCTCAGCTGGGAGGCCCAGCGACCTTTGTCTCCTTACAATCTCAGCTCTGACTCTCTCCAAGAAGTCTGCCAGGCTGTCCCATGGTCTGGAAACTGTCCACGCAGTAAGCTGGGCAGTCACAGGGCTCACATCATTTATTTTCCATCTTTCAGGGGTTGATTTCCTTTGTTGTCTCAAATCCAGTGACTTGCAAACCATCGTTTTATTTGTGCATTTTTAAGTTTTTCGGGTTAGAAAATAAGTCCGGCCCCTGTTAAGTCATCTTAGCAAGAGGCACATATCTCAAATAGATGATATTATTTGATATTATTATTTGATAGTTCACAATGAGAACGCTGAAGTGAAAAAGATAAAATTAATTTTAATATTGTATTTTATCTCAATATTTCCAGAATATTATCATTTCAACATGTGATCAATATACAAATGTTAATATAATTTTTTAAAATCCTAAGTGTGCCTTTTACCCTTCCAAATGCATTTTAATTCAAACTTGTAAAATTGCAAGTGCTTAGTAGCCACAGCAGAGCTTAGGTATAGCAAATCTTAATAATGTTTGGCCGCTCATAACTACTTCCATTTGAATGGGTCAAATTGTTACCTTGCCCATGAAATACTCTGTGAGTAGTGTAGCTAAAAATCCTTGAATTTGCATGGTATTTGGTGCTATCCTTAGGGACTTGACATATTTTATCTTTTATTGCTTGATAAATGGGTTTAAAGATTCTTAAGAATTTGTGCACTACACTTTGTGAAAAGGGTACTAGGGATTCTCAAGAATTTGGAAATGAGACTGCTAAATGGCACATTCTAAAGGGTAAATTAATACAATTTAGATGAAATTATTATTCATCATAGATTATATTTTTTAAGATTTATTTATTTGAAAGGCAAAGTTACAGTGCGGGGTGGAGAGGGAGAGAGACAGACAGACAGACAGACAGACTGAGAGGTCTTCCATCCACTGGTTCATTCCCCAAATGGTTGCAATGGCTGGAGCTAGGCCAACCCAGGAGCTTCTTCCAGGTTTCCCACATGGGTACAAGGGCCCAAGCACTTGGGCCTCTTCCACTGCTTTTCCCATTGCTTGTTTGTTTGACTTGTTTTATTTCTGCTATAACATAGACATCTTCAGGGAATAGCTACTGCTTATTCAGGGTTGTATCACCCATAACAGTGAGAACAGAAGACCAGAAATGTTTCTGCAGAAAAAGAATGAATAAGGCCTGTGTATGTTCACCTCCACTTTCACATGGACACATGTGCAAAGCAGATTTGCTATGTATAGGGATCTCAAAGCATTGTAGGAGGCGCTGGCCTTCTCCAGGTGTAACTGACCAGCAGCCTATCCCTGACTCCAAGTGCTGCCTTCTTGAGTGATTTCCCAGGCTCTGCTCACCAGCGCTGCACATAAACTCAAAGCACTGGCTTGACCTATGTCACTGTGACTCACCTTCTGAGAACAGCTCTATTGTTTTCTTCAATACTGCTTAATTCAATGTTAAGCATCCTTGACTTGTAGAATTGGAGCAAAGTGAATGCCCTAGATGAGCCTGTTGGTACCTCAATTCAGAGACTAGGAGAACAAGAAGCCTGAGGAAACTTTCAAAGGCAAGTCTTAGCTCAAAGGCAAGGTGATGCTGGTGACCCTTGAACCCTGAACACCTGTATACTGTAGTCTCCAATGCCACCTTGTAGAGTCTGGCCACTCATTTCTCTCTCTTTATTCTACTTTTTAGGGAAAGAATAACACAGCATGAGCATGAGTAGTTTGAAACTGCTGAAGTATGTCCTGTTTTTCTTCAACCTACTCTTCTGGGTAAGTGTGTATTTTCTGAGTGTGGCAACGGGACTCAGCTCAAGTCTTTCCAGCTAAGCTCTCCTTCTTCCCTTCTACTGGAGAGTCTGGGTTGAGTGTAGCCCATACACCCTTGGGTTATATCCAACCCATCCTGTCTGAGAGCAAAGGAGTAATAAGTTACTCCTTTCTTCCCATCCTATCACAGAATGAACCTGCAAAATCAAAAGGTACCAGTGCAGTAATTAATGGTAGTGCCACCTCTTTCTGGGAGCTTTAGGCTACTGTTGCTCAGTGATGGCGGCTACGCAAGAAGCCCAAGACTGCATTCTGGATATTGAGTGCCTCTTTCTGTTCTTGTATTTTCTTCTCTGGGCCCCTTGGAAGAATAGCTGCTTGAAAGAGAACTAATCTTTTCTGGAGAGGTTCATGTACCAGACTCAGCAATTGAATTTCAGACACAGCATGAGTCTGTACTTATGTGTGTGTGAGAAGATCACTATTCGCTTGGTTTCTGTATAGAAAGATGAACTTCCTCAGCTGGGGGATCTCCTCTACATGGTCCTGGTTTCCAAAAGGGAGGCCACATATGAGCAATTGAGGCAATGAGAAGTAGAATATGTGAAGCCTGGAATTGGGTCTGTGGCCCATTGCAGTGAGTTTTCTTTGGTATCTGGAAATGGGTAAGAAGAGATGTGGGTGGGATTCCATACAAAGAAGCTGGGATTGCCTCTCTTCTGGGAGCATAGGGAAGCTGGGTAAAGAGGTTGTTTACAACAGTCTGCACCAAACCAATGGAAGAAATGTGATTCCAATCTGAAGGAGGTGAAATATGAGAAGATAACTCAAGAACCATATTTCACCTTGGAATGTTACGGGATTCTTCTTTTCAGTTCTGTGGCTGCTGCGTTTTGAGCTTTGGGATCTACCTCCTGATCCACAAGAAGTTCGGGGTGCTCTTCTTTAACCTCCCCTTCCTCACGCTGGGCAATGTGCTTGTCATCGTGGGCTCCATTATCATGGTGGTTGCCTTTCTGGGCTGCATGGGATCTATCAAGGAAAACAAGTGCTTGCTGATGTCGGTGAGTCCTTACTGCAAACGTAGTGCCCTATATGGGGAAAGACAATGCCTCAAGTGGCACATAAGAAGTTTCTAGTTAGTCACTTAAGCACAAGGAAACCACAGGGCCATGGGATTGGCACCTCAGATCAGTGACTCCAGACCTATAATAGTATTCTGGTGTGGGTCCCAGGGATAAGTGGGAGGGGGCATTGTTTTGACAGTGTTAATCATGACCATGTCATTAGAATTTTCCTTCATAGAATTCTGTTTGTTCTTCATATCTGGTTAAGATCAAGTCTCATCCCTCGATTTACATCCTCTTTCTATTAGAATGTACTGTCAGGATCTGACTCTAAGTCATTAACTGGTGGAAAAATAAGTCTTCAGAGCGTGGTAGCGCCCATAAAATGGCAGAAGATGCTTCCTTAACTCATCTCTGCACAAGGTACTCCACAGTGAGAGTGGCCCAACTTCAGCAAGAGCTCCAGCTATACCTGTAGAGATTGACTGTGAGAGATACTAGAGTCTCCAGTTGCTTCCATGTCAGTTCAGTGTCCTGAGGACCACTGCAGACTCCGGGTTTTCTCTGGAAGCACTGTGAAGGAAGGGCTCCATGTTTCTCTAGTGTCCCCGGAATAGGACTTGATACAGCAAGTGCTGCTCTCCACGGCCAGGGGCTCCCAGGCACCTTGGTTCTTTCTTGAGTCTTTCAGTTAATCTTCTTCCCCTATGGGTCAACTCATAAACTGGAGCCAAGAAAAGGAATGCAAAAAAAACAGTCGTCATCTTCAGTTCTTAGACAGAGATGGGAAATAACAGGCATGGGATAAATATTTCATATGGTCCACAACATGAAGGAGCTGATAAAAGAGAAGAAATGACTGAACATGTGTTTTCTGTTGTGTGCAATTTGCATAAAGGGAGTAAGCATCTAAACGTGGAGACAAATGTGAGTTAGAACCTTGATTAGAGCCACTCAGCTCCTCATCTGTCCAGGGCTCTTGTTAGCCTTCAGGATTACTTGCCCTCCACCCTAAAGTAGCCATCTAACAGAAAGGATTGGGACCCAAACTCTCAAGACACATGACTTAATTTATTATCCCCCAGTGCAACTTATTATATAGGATGATGCCAAAATTTCTCCTTTTGTCCAATAAATGGTATTGAAAATGCAACAGGGAAATGCTGCTCTTAAAGGCACAGTGGGCGAGAACAGCTACAAGACAGCTAGTCTGCCCTCTGGTGTCCAGTTGTAAGAACAGAATACACATTGCTCACAAAATAAAGAGGTCTACAAAGGCAGGAGACTGCAAGAACAGGAGCATTCTGCCAAGACCCACCTGCTCCCAGGGCAGAGAGGGGGTGGGATGGGATCTGGGACCAGTGCTGTGAGTGTGTCTCTGCTTTACCCCAGTTCTTTGTCCTGCTGCTCGTCATCCTACTTGCTGAGGTGATCTTGGCCATTCTGCTCTTCGTATATGAACAGAAGGTATGTTACACAAAACAAAACTCATTGTTGTGTTGCTGAAAGTGGGGAGTGTGCAGTTGGAGAAAAAGTTAGAATAAAATATGTTCTATAGTAGGGATAGAAGTGAAGTGGAAGGATGGAGGGGAGAGAGATTAACTCTAATCGGGCAGATGAAAAATTTCCAGAAGGACGTTGTGCTTGGTGTGGTGAAGAAGGATCGGAAAGAACATTAAGGACAAATTCATCTTTCTCCTACTTACTTTTTCACATGTATCTGCATGGCAGAACACAGTCTGTCAAAACACTATTTGCAGCAACACTGATATACAGAGACATTTCTTTTTCTGTTTTTGTTTTTTGATTTTTAAAAATGTTAGCCCCCACATATATGGAGGAACATGCAGTATTTGTCTTTCTGTGTCCAACTTACTCCACTCAACTTGATGTCCTCCAATTGCAACTATTTTGGCACAAATGATAGAATTTCATTTTTATAGATGAATAATATTCTATTATATATACATTTGTGTGTGTGTATATATATGTTTATATATACTCCATTTTCTTTATCCATTCATCTGATGATGGGCACCTTGGCTGATTGCATATTTTAGTGATTGTGAATAGTGCTGCTGTAAATACTGTGGTACAGGTACCTCTTTGGTACCATGTGTTCATGAATTTTATTTATTTTTTAAAAGATTTATTTATTTATTTGAAAGTCAGAGTTAGAGAGAGGAGAGGGAAAGAGAGAGAGAGAGAGAGAGAGAGAGAGAGAGGTCTTCCATCTGATGGTTCACTCCCCAATTGGCCTCAACAACCGTAGCTGCGCCGAACCAAAGCCAGGGGCCAGGAGCTTCCTCTGGATCTCCCACACAGGTGCAGGGGCTCAAGGACTTGGGCCATCTTCCACTGCCATCCCAGGCCATAGCAGAAAGCTACATCAGAAGCAGAGCAGCCAAGACTAGAATCGACACTCATCTGGGATGCCAGCGCTTCAGGCCCAGGCATTAACCCGCTGCGCCACAGTGCCAGCCCCTCATGACTTTTAAAACCCAAGCTCTTAAAGGACAAGAATCCACTGATACTTCTTTCTTCTATTCCATCTCATCAGCAGCAATTCTTCCCATAAAAATAAATTCCTCCTCTCAGTTCTAAGGAGACCACTTGGAAGGGAGGAGCAAGTGGATCACTAGGAATCCCTACTTCAAAAAGCTGAAATCCAAAATTCTTCAACTTCTGAAATTTTTGAGTACTGACATGATGCCACAAGGGTAAAGCTCCAGACTGACCTCATGCTGATAGGTCACAGTCAAAATGCAGAAGTACTAAAACCAAAAACCAAAGCATAACTTATTTTCAGGCTATGTGTATAAAGTATATGTGAAACAGAAATGAATTTCAGGTTTAGATTTGGGCCCAATCCCCAACATAGCTAGTTATATATATGGGAATATTACAAAATCTGAATAAATCTGAAATGCAAGCCACCTATACTAGAAACTCCTTATATCTCAAACTCACCTGCTTTTTACAATGTTTTCTCTGCTGGCATGCACCCTGTCTAGCTGAACAAGTATGTGGCTGATGGTCTGACTGACAGCATCCAACGTTACCAATCAGATAACAGCACCAAGGTGGCATGGGACTCCATCCAGTCATTTGTGAGTACAGACAAACCCTCAAACCAGCCCAGACCTTGTTTTCCAGCCTTAGTACCTGGGGCTTGCATCTTGCCTGGAAGTTTCAGAATCTAATGCTTACAGTCCTGGCGTCCAGAGTAATGCCTTGGCTTTCACACACAAGGGAGCACAGGAATCAATTCTGTTGACACAAAATTCTCTCTATCTTCTCATTCATCTTGTGCTAACTCAGATTGGCTCACTGTTTAAGTTCTACTCTGATGTGAAGAGACCCAAAGATATACTACTGGATTAGTTTACTTATTTTCTAAAATTTAATTGAAAAGAGGCATATATGACACAAGAAATCCCTACAAATCCCCAAGTTGCACAAGCCCTCCTGCATCCTACTCCTCGTGCCACAGTTTGCATCTTCAGCAATACCACTTTGACCACATACTTGTTTAGCATGAAATAGAGGAAATGGCACAGGAATTAGAGTGTGGAGACAAGAAGTGGGCAGCCTTGGGAAAATATCACTGAATCTCCCTAGATCCCCAATCCCATCTTTTTCCCAGTTCAGTTTTAAAATATTTTATATAATTTTCATAATATACAAAATAAAGAGAACAATTGCAAATGATTCTCTAAGTACATGTCACCAAGTTCAGCAGTTGACATTTTGCCAGAGTCATTTCCTCTAATTTCTTACACTTCTTTGCTAGAATGTTTTGAAGCAAACACTATATATCATCCCATTCATGAAAAAAGAACTTTTTTAATATATCTAAATTTTTATCATTCCTTAATATTACTAATACATAGTCTGCAGCCAAGTCCTTAATTCTTTCAAAAGTCTTTTAATTGATTTGTCCAAGTCTAGACCCAAACAAGTTCCCCATTTCACATTTGGGTGACTATTTTAATCTTCAGTACTATCCTTTTCTGCTCATATTACCTGTTTTTTGGAAAGAAATAAGGTTATTGGTACTATAGGATTCCCCACTTCCTGGATCTGGCTGTTTGGTTACTCTAGATATTTTAGTGTCAGAGAGTCTTGCCTCCCACAAACCCAGAGAATCAAGGGGCTTGAAGCAGTTTTCACCTTGTGAAAGGTGAAACCTTATGAGAGCTGGCATTTCCCTGGTGTACCTTGTAAACAGGCACATAATATCTGATTCTCCTGCTGTTATCTTCAAATTGGTTGGTGGGTCCAGGTGTGGTCAAACTGAACCTTTCATGGTAAAGTCCTATGGATGCCTACTTATTGCTCTGTAAAATTTGAATACATTAAGCACGCCCTCTCTAGTTCACAGGAGTCTTATGTGAATAAAATGGTATAACATGTTTGAAAGTACTTTGTTCCAAGGAGCCCATGTAGTCAGACCAATTCAGGACTTTCTGCTATGGAGTCAGATCTGAAGAGCCTAACCATTTCCTCTGAGGTCTAGTTTTCCTGTTGACTTTCTAACCATCCTATATTGGGGGGATTTGGCTTTCAGCTGCAGTGTTGTGGTGTAAATGGCACAAGCGACTGGCCCCGTGGCCCACCAGCATCTTGCCCTTCAGATTCACAAGTTAAGGTAATCCTGTTGGCAACTTTTCTATTATCGCCCTCTTTGTTTAAACTCTTATTTATCTCATTCACCAACCAAAATCCGACCTGGAACTTTGTAGGGCTGACAGATTTACTAGTTGTTGAAGCAGAAACTGAAATGCAAATCAATCCCAGGACTGCACAGGCTATATTATCCTTGTTAATATTAGATCAACACCAAATATTCAAAGAACACAAGGGCATTTGTTGCTGCCCTGCCTTTTGGGAGCTGATTTAACGGGTAGTAAAGATCTAAACCTTTTGTATTAGGTGTCATTGAAAAGTCTCTTGTTTAGTATTCCCTACCTTATACCTGTTTCTACATCCATGCAAAGAAACCTGTCTCTGCATTACGTCAGGAAAAATACAAACTATCTTCCCAAATAATCCTCTTGATAAAGTTGAATCATGGTGTACTATCATCCATACCTGTTATTTTTTCCAGGGTTGCTACATAAAAGCACAACAGTGGTTTCAATCCAACTTCTTGTATATTGGCATCATCACCATCTGTATATGTGTGGTTCAGGTAAGAACTTAACTGTGGGACTGCTGTGATGATTAGGTGGGGTAAGTCACGTCAGGCTTTAGAACAATACCAGGCACATAGCATATATTCAACAAATGTTGGCTGCTTTTATTAGATAAGTTCCTCTGGTCAATTAGCAAACGATGTTATTACAAATTTGATTTAAGGCACACAGAAAGCATGCTGTAGTAACATCTACCTGGTCAACTTAGCCCTCAGAGACCTTTGTGACTCACAGTCAACTTAAAATCTATGAAGCAAAACCCCACGCTTGTCCGTCACTCAACCAGTCTGGAAAAGACTATGATCAATGAAGTGTTCCACTGGAACAGTTGACCTAGCATAGTAAGAAGGAGTTGATGATAGCAATTTCATCAGTTTAGTTATAAAGGGTGGATTGGGGGGAGCTTTGTGTGTTTTTTCATTATGTGATATTTCTAACATGTTTCTACCCAAGTGTTGAATATATCAAAGATTAGTTAAAGTTTAGTCAAAAAGTTCAGAGAAAGATGATTTTTCTTTGCTTGGAAACTGTGCAAGCATAGGATGTTTATGGTGATGACTCATTGCGCAGTGTTCAATGAGCAAAATTGGGATTATCTCAGCAGCAGGGCTGCTTTGACTTCTTAAGACAGAGATGTTTTCTTGCCATCATGGCCACCATTTCTCTCCCCATTGCTCTCTTAAGTCAAAGGAGAGTTACTGTGAGGGAAGTTGAAGCTATGGTGGGAACGGTGGTCTCTGTGTGACGGATATGTTCTTTATTTTGGCGGGGGGGGGGTGCTAATTCCAGGAGCTGTGGAAGGAATGACTATTCATATGAAGACTTCACATTTTCCCAACTCTTTTCTCAGGTGTTGGGAATGTCCTTTGCACTGACCCTGAACTGCCAGATTGACAAATCCACCCGGGTCCTAGGACTATGACCTGCAACCTCCCTGTGCTGGAGAGATTTGTCTCATCTTTGGAAATCTAAAACCACTTATAGCATGAAGCCCTAAATAATCACCTGCTGCACTGTTGTCATCATCTTCCCTTCATCTCTTCTCTGCTTGGGTCTCTGTCTTATACAACTGGAGAAGAGAGTGTTGGTCAGATACTTCCCATCTCATGCAGCAAGACAACTATTCATCCATTGATGGAAGCAAGGTGGTAAAATACCTGGGTGTTTTACAGAAGTGAGAGACCAAGAGAACTTATGGCGCTAGTAGGTCAAAACCCAGGGGCAAGTCTAGGATTTGATGTTTTGAAAATTACTATTGTTAAATCAGTCTCTAGCCTCTAAACCACATCCAGTCTGCTTTCCAAAGTCAAGCAAAAGAAAGCAGAGGAAAGCTCTGGGGCCAGGCTCACTGGATTCTTGTCACAACCCTATGTTTCCTTTCGCTCTGGGGGCCTTGGTTACAGGAATTAACAGAAAACTCTTTCCCCAAAGGGTGAGGTTTCATTTCAACTTCTTTGTTAAATGCCTTATTATTGTAAGTCTTTCCAGATAAAGAAACTATCCAGTGATTCATATCTTGACTGCAAATATCTTTTAGCCTTTGATTTACATAGTCATGGAAGAACTCAGCAGTCCAGTATCTCTGGTGTATTAGCTGATAATCTCATTCAGAAGAGCTCTGGTGTAACTTCTCTATCAGATAAGGTTTTGTTAATGTGCTATTTTTAATTCTTCAATAAATAAAATAGCTTATGACCTCAATCCCAAACTTCTCATTCTTATATCTCAAATACACCTTCCTTTACTCAGCCTGACTCTCTAGCTGGCAAGCCAGATGTATTAGTTATATATTGTTGCATAATAAATTACTCCAAAATGTAGTGGCTGAGAACAACAAAGGTCCTCCATCTGATGGTTCACTCCCCAATTGGCCACAACGGCCAGAGCTATGCCAATCCAAAGCCAGGAGCCAGGAGCTTCTTCCGGGCCTCCCATGAGGATGCAGGGGCCCAACACCTTAGGCCATCTTCTACTGCTTTCCCAGGCCACAGCGGAGAGCTGGATTAGAAGTGGAGCAGCCAGGTCTTGAACCAGCGCCCATATGGGATGCTGGCACTGCAGGTGGCAGCTTTATGCACTACTCACCCTGTAGTCATTTGGCAATTGCTGGATGGTACTCATGTTCAAATAATCTGTATTTTGCTTACTGATGAATCCAAAGCATAAGTGTAGTAATGCTTGCAATTCTGATATTTCCTTTAAGTGAAAAGGTGACAGTTCTTTGGTTGGACATTTGGCCTAGTCCTAAGATGACAGTTAGGACACTTATGTCCCACATTGGAGTACCTGGGTTCAAGCTGGCTCCAGTTTTTGTCATCAGCCCTGGGAGGCAATGGTGATGGCTCAAGTAATTGGGCCCCTGATATCCATGTGGGAGACTTGGATTGAGTTACTGGCACCCAGAGCTAGCCATTGTTAGCATTTGGAGTGAACCAGTGATTGCGAGTATCCTGTCTCTCTCTCTCTTTCTCTCCCTGTCAAATAAATAAAAATTTTAAAGATGTAAAAGTTCTCAACAAAGAAAGAAAAAAATCACTCATTGAGGTTGCTAAGATCTAAGTACAATAATGTATTTTGAGAGGAGGAAGCAAGGTGGTGGATGCTAAGATGCTCCAGCCTCCATCACCCTAGAGAGACAATGATTTGAACAGTTACTCACACACCAAGTCACCTTTGCAAGAGCTCCATAAGATGGGTGAGAGGCTGCGCTGCCTTATTTTAGTTCAATAGCAAGAAAAGTCTCATTGAAGAAAGTGGGAAGGAAAGTTTCTTGCATCTCTACCCTTCCAGCTCAAAGGAGTGCAAGATAGAAATGCCTTCTACTTGGAGGAGGGGAGCTGGAATTGAATCCCTGTGGCAGTCCCATTGTGATAAAATTTGGAGTTAGACTGGACTCCATGGTACCTTCTCCCAGATCATTACCCACAGACAAAATATTGGGGCCTCCACAAACAATTGGGTTTCTGCCACTCCTGCCTCCTCCCCACACACACACACAGCTGCTGGCAGAAAGTGAAGCTGAACTCCAGTCACTGTGGAAAGAGCAGAAGAGAGAGCTTAGGACCACGCTTTGGCAATCAGAACAAGGCCACAGCCTAGAGACCCAGCAGCCAATAAAGCCTCATGACTGAGTCACAAGACTTGAGTTTTCATCAGGCTGGGACCTGCATTCCAATGGGACAGTTTGTTTTGGCATGCATCACCCCTGGCCTCAGTCAGGCCTGGCATGAACTCTGTGAATTTCGGGGGACTCTGTGATTGTGGAGCCAAAGTGTAACCCAGCCTGGCACATCTGTGTGGCTCGAGGTGTCTTCATCCCATCCTCTAGCCTTGAGCAGACAGCAAGGACCCACAGGACGATGCCTCAAGACTCAGTGCTGGGCTGGTAAAGACCAACACTAAGCAAATCCTAATGGTGCCTGTCCCAAGGTGTGCCTCTGGATCTTGGAGGTTCTAGATTTTCCCCAGTATCATGTGGGGACCTTCACCCTGGTGGGATGGTATCATTTTGGTGGGTAGCAGCACCAATCTCACATGGGCATGGTGTGCACTTCCAAGATTACACAGGGCCTGATGACTGTGGGACCCTGATGTGACCCACCAGTGCCTGTCTGGGAGGCTAGGGGGTTCCTCTATGATTCCTTCTGCAACCTTTTACAGACAGCAAGGGGTCACAAGACTGCTTTGGGACTCAGTGCCAAGCTGGAAAAACCCAACATTCAGCAGATCCCAGTGGTGTCTGTCCAGAGGCCACTGCCTACAGACAGAGCCTCTGGACCTGCCTCAATGTCAGGTGGAGTTCTGTGGACCCAGTTGATCAGTATTATGCACTAGTCGGCATCACTAGTGACTGGGCAGTGAAGCACCTCAGCAGCAGACAGATCATGGCAGGGTGGGCTTTAGCCCTACCCTATGGTTCTACTGGCCGCAGTGGGCTGTGGGTTCCAAGTTTTACCTAGCATTGTGGCAGTGGTAGACACGGAACTAGAAGTCTGAGACTGTTGCAGCCCCAGGAAGAGGCTTACAGGGATATTTTATAAGCAATCCCCGCCCCCCCGCCAGTTCACCCTGAACAACATATGAACTATGGATTGGGGCCAATTCTGAACTTGGGGAGTACTGTAGTACTGAAAAAGTTTAAAAACATCAACAGCAGACCCAAGGAAAACCTTGACTTAAGGGGTATCTAGTGATGAAATAGAATATATCTATAGGTTTGAGGCCAGCGCCGTGGCATAGCAGGTAAAGCCACCACCTGCAGTGCTGGCATCTCATATGGGCACCAGTTCAAAGTCCTGGCTGCTCCACTTCTGATTCAGCTCTCTACTATGGCCTAGGAAAGCAGTAGAAGATGGCCCAAGTCCTTGGGCCCCTGCACCCTCATGGGAAGACCTGGAGGAAGCTCCTGGCTCCTGGCTTTGGATTGTCCCAGCTCTGGCTGTTGGCGGCCATTTGGAGAGTGAACCAGCAGATGGAAGACTTTCTTCTCTCTCTGCCTCTCCTGCTCTCTCTGTGTAACTCTGACTTTCAAATAAATAAATCTTTTAAAAGAATGTATCTATAGGTTCAGAGAAAATAAACAGGCAGCTTAGAATTTCCAGAAAGACACCCATAAACAAAGCCAGGTCAGTATAACTAAACCTTCCATGTGCAGATGATGGCATACAAGCATCAAGGATCTTCAGAAAATTATGACCTCACCTAAGTAAAATAAGGTACAGAAAACAATTATTTAGGAATTAAATCTTTCAAATGCTCAGATGAAGATTTCAAAATAGCTGCTTTAAGGAAACTCAATAAACTGAAAGAAAACACAGATAAATGGTCAACATTTTTAAAGGCAGAGAGATGGGGAGAGAGAAAGAGAGAGAGAGAGGGAGGGAGGGAGAGAATGTTTTCCACCTACTAGTTCATTCCCCAAATGTCTGCAACATCCAGGTCTGGGCCAGGCTGAAGCCAGGAGCCAGAAATTCTATTCATGGTCTCTAACATGGGTGGCAGAGACCCAAGTACTTGAACCCTTTTTTGCTGCCCTCCCAGGTACATTAGCAGGGAGTTGGATCCAAAGCAGCATAGCCAGAACTTGAACCAGTACTTCAATATCAGATGCTGACACTGAAAGCAGCAGCTTGATCCATTGTGCCACAGTACCAGCCCTCAGAAATGATTTAATATTCTAACAGAGATTCAATAGAAAGATTTAAATAATTAAATGACTTAATTAAAATATTTAAATGATTACACAGAAATTCTTTGAACTGTACACTACACAAAATTTAAAATGTAATACAAGACACTAATAGTCAAACAGAAGAAAGAACAAATAATCTTTAAGCCAAGTTGTTTGGAAATATAAAGTTGGAGGAAACAAATGAAAAAAAGAACCAAAAGGAATGAGGAAAGCTTACAGAAACTTTGGAAGTAAACATCTAAGTTATGGGGGTTCAAGAAGGACTGGAGAATGCATAGGGGGTAGAAAGCATATTAAGAGATAAAAATAGAAAACTCCCTAAGCCTAGAGAAAATGCAACTATTAATACATGAAAGCAAAATATCACCAATAAGATTCAATCCAATGAAGTCTACCTATAACATATTATAGTCAAGCTTCCCATGGTTAAAGACAAAGAAGATTTTTCAGGTTTCAAGAGAAAAGACGCAAGTAACCCATGAAGTGGTTCTGACTCTCCTGACTGCAGACTTCTCAGCAGAGATGTTACAAGCCAGGAGGCAGTGGGTTGAGACCTTCCCAATATTGAAAAAGAAAAGGAATTGCCAGCCAAGCATCCTGTATCTAGCAAGGTTACCCCTCAGATATGAGGGAAAGATAAAGACATTCCCAGACAAATAAAAGCTGGGAGAATTTATCACCATCAGATCTGGAAGACAAGAAATAGTAAAGGGAGTTTTTATTGTTTTGTTTGAAAGATTTATTTATTTATTTGAAAGACAGAGTTACATAAAGGCAGAGGGACAGAAAGATAGAGAGAGAAAGAGGGAGAGGGTGAGAGAGAGAGAGGGGGAGGGAAGGAGGGAGACACAGAGAGAGAGAGAGGGTATTAATTTTCTATCCACTGGTTCACTCCCCTAAATGGTCGCAATGCTGTTGCTGGGCTGATCTGAAGCCAGGAGCCATGAGTTTGATCTGGGTCTCCCACATGGATGCAGGGGCACAAGGACTTGGACCATCTTCCACTGCTTTCCCAGGTGCATTAACAGGAGCTGGATTGGAAATGGAACAGCCAGGACTGAAACCAGCACCCATATGGGATGCCAGCACTGCAGGCAGTAACTTTACCTCTTTACCTGCTATACATAGCACTGGCCTCAAGGGAGTTCTTCAAATTTAAAGAAAGAGATGCTAATGAGTGAGAAAAAAAAACCAGAAGGTAGAAAACTGGTAAGTGTACTTTTACAAACAAATTCACAAAGCTCTAAGCTTTAAAATGTGGTCAATAACTAAAAAAAAAAATCAAGAGAAAAGACCCAAATCAATAAAATCAGAGATGAAAAAGGAAATTTAACAAAAGACACCGCAGAAATAAAACGAATCATCAGAAATTATTGCCAGGACTTGCATGCCAGCAAACAGGGAAATCTATTAGAAATGGATAGATTCCTGGACACATGCAACCTACCTAAATTGAACCAGGAAGACATAGAAAACCTAAACAGACCCATAACTGAAACAGAAATTGAAA